CTCTTATTTAGGTTATGTCCTGATGATTTGTCAGATTGAGTTACATTTTTCTATTTTCCTAACTGATCTTAATTTCTATCAATATTTCAGCATCTGCATAAAAATGTCAAGGAAGGTCCAAAAAACCAACTTGAAAATCTAAGTGAAATGAGATCTTTAAGGGAATGTATTCATACAAATGAATCGATAAATAAATATGAAGAAATACCGGTGCTTAGGGGTCAAGGAACAACAACCTTCATTATTTTTATCAATTCTAGTCATCGAGGAGTGGAAATAAAACAAGAATATTTCTCTTTTTTCCTAAGGAAATTATTATCTAACCTTGTCCTCAATAAAACTAAGAAGACTCTGTTGCATCAACAGATTTCTGAAAAGAGCAGAACCGACAAATCTTCAATGATTTAATCGTACAAATACGTAACTTTGTGACTCTCTTGTAAAAAATCTCTTTGTACCAATTTATTCTCATGCAAACAGTCTCAATCTTTTGCTCTTTCTTTCCTATAATAATACGGGCCAAATTCCCGTTTCCCAAAACAGTTTTGCATATGTCTTGATATGTTTTAGAAGATTGAAAATTGATCACCATTAAGTATATCATCTATGAAATCAGCATGGACATATTTTAGTAGTCTGCTATGATATAATACAAGTTAGTTTGAAATTTGGTATGATAACCGATGATTATTCTATTACTTAGGCTATATGGTTCTCTACTATCAATATTTTGGGAACTTACACGGGATTTAATAATTGTCTAGGACAATTCATTGATAGTTTTCATTCAGACATATGATCTAATGGCTGTCACTGGTAGGGCCTTATTTTGCAGCATCATGCATGTGGTAGGTCCATTCATCAAAGCAATCCAAATATGATTGAATTAGCTAGGGCACAGCTCTTCTTTTAAATTTCGGCTCCCCAGATCTTTTCATTAACTATATCCGTAGGTATCTTTAGCTTTGATAGGTACCACATGTACTGATTATAACTTATAAGGATAATGATGTTCCTGCAAGACAAGAATAGTAACTAATCTCGACTGGCTGTGGAATTTCAAGTTAATAATGTATGCTGACTACATACTTTTGATAGTTTATTGCTTGCTTGTACCTTTTTTTAAACAAGATATTACTTGTTTGTACTTGCTATATACTGTTTATTAGTACAAACAACTAAAAAATTAAATTTGCTTTTTCCATTGATTATCTTCATGTAATTAGTTTAGTTTTTAGGTGTCACCAGCAATTTGTTTATATCTGAAAGCTTGGCTACTTTGCTAGCTGATAAATTTTTTAGCCATGACCTAATTATCGACATTTGTGGTTCATTTGCCTTCTCTCCACATCTTTATGTGCCGTCACTACTTATGCTACGTAGATTAAATTCTACTCCATGTTCTAGCTATCAAAAGATTTAAACCCATGGTCCCTTTCACTGTCTCTTTTGTCGTACTGTGCTTGATTTGGAGTCTTTGATACTTGGTTGATGTGCAGCTACTTGTAATGGGTTTGCCCTCTCTGATTTCCTGAACTGTGTATTCATTTCCTAGATCTGATCATGTGCAGCAAGATTTGCAGCTTTTTCTATTTCACAACTAAAAATTGTATCAGATTGAACCTGTATCAGTTCGGCTGCTGCTTCAATTTATTTCTGTGCTTTTGTTTTCTTACCAAGGTGATCGATTGCTGTCAGCGCAATATGGATCTTTGCAAGTGATAATATCTTTTAATCAAGTTTTAGCTGATAACGTAAAGCAAACTAACGTATGTAACACTTTTAAAACATCTTTCAATTTTTGTTTCTGAAATTTAAGTTTTCACTAACATATGTAACACTTTTAAAACATGTAGACGGAGTTGTTTTGATTTATTCTTGAATTCTAGCACCATATTTTTCTCGAGATTAGCTGATAATGTAAACAAATCCATCTGACACGCTGCATTACAAGAAGTGAAGCAGGAAAGGTCCAAAAGACCTATGGGAGCTTTCAGGTCTCAGATCCTGTGTTTTGTGTTGTTGTGGTTGATTGCATCATTTGCATGGGGCTATGCCCCAGGACAGGCACAAGATTTGTCTCAGAATGCCAGCAAATTATCGACTCCAATTGGAATTGGATCTGTAGCTGCTGTTTGCATCAGGATGGGGTTGGTATGTCCCATCTCACCCTATCACGCATCCAATCCCTTGTTGGTATGTCTTGAAACCTAATCCATCAGATCATTCATAGTCTCGGGGTTTCTCGGGGTTCGAGCACAGAGCCTTCAACTCGACTTTTTATTCCATCTGTAACTTGTTTGAGGGGTATTCCCGTAAAATTGTCGGCAAGTGATCCTAAGGGTAGCAGATAGACCTTGCATAGCATCACAGTTTTGAACTTACTACCCTTCTAACTTTATTTTTTGCAGATAGAGCCGGATTGAATTTTCTTCCTGATTCTTTTACCCTCAACTCAAGGGGATTATTGTGCCCCTCCACCACCACCACCACACACACACACATCAAAAAAATGTCACTCGGGCTCTTCCTGCAAAAATAAACCTTAAGAGTAGTAAGTTCAATATAACGATAGTACATGAGGTCTATCCACAATTAACCTTTTTTTGTCTGATTAATTTGTTGTTATCAGTGGAATGTTTGTATTGTATCTAAAAACGTATGAATCTTTCTTGTTTTTGTTGTTCCTTTATGTATCATTAATACCCCCAGTCTAATAGGAACCCTCCCATTCTGGATATTCAACGGGACTACAAGTGGTATAGTACTTTATCCCATGGCCTTTTTATCTTGTTAGTAGATGAGTAATTTCGCATTTGTAGCCTGGTTAGTATTATCCCTTCATTTCCTTCTTAAGACACTAAACCAGGTATTTTTGGTAAGCACTGGGTCCAGATGACGTGGAATGATGAGCTGCCCTTGATTGCAACACATCAGCTATTCAATCATGTAGCTTATTTGGACAGGAGAGCAGCTGACGGACAAAATTAACATAAGGGCAATAATGCAGGCTGCTGCTGCAGGAGAACCGAAACAAAACCGGCCAGCCAGCTACTATCATCAAACATAGATGAGAAATTGACGAGGACATGGAAGAGTTCTCCTCAAGCATTAACCTTTGCTCTTGGTCTGGGTACAAAATCATGATTCTAAAATTGGATGAGAGTGAGACATTGGATTCCCATCACCGGGTATCTTGCACACTGTTCACACCATTGCTACCTACCTACAAATCGAAAGGGCCACCTGATTTTATGACGATTTGATTCCTATGCTTGCTGTCTTGAATCTCATGATTATGTATTTTAAGCAATCTCCTTAGCATGTGAAACTGAACTCATTCCACTGTTTCAAGCATTAGTTATTTGTTTTATGTTAATCATTATTTGTAGGCGATATATTAGGTGTCTATTTGCATTATCATAGTAGTGTTTACAATATGCAAGTAATGTGTGTCACTTTATGATGCTTATTAGCACCTGTCATTGAGCTAAACTCGTGGGTTTAGATTGTTTAATTGATTTTGATTAGCTTTAGTTGTTGCGGTCAAAACTCTGGCAGACAGGTGTCTAGATTAAGCGGCATGCCTGTAGCCATAATGGTGAAAGTCTTGTTCTATCTGCTCAGTAAAGACCAAAGGTAGGATTTTATGCAGGCACAGGAAGAAGAAAAAAAAAAGTGCTAATTTTGGGTGTACAGTGCCCCCATCAAGCATGTTTGGATGCAACAACAGTCTTGTTGTAGCCGGGGAAACATACTGGAGAATTCTCTAGTAGAATATGTACCACAATCTTACATGTACAAAAAGGACGATAATTAGGCTCTAACCCGCTGATTCGCCTTTTGGGAGTCGTTTTCTTTCTTTTTTTTTTCTTCAGAAATTCCTTGTCTTGTCTTGTAGAGTTACTTTTCTTTCTTTACTACTTCTTTCTGTCATGTAATTGAAATACAAATCTCATTGCAGTTTTTACGTCTGCTGCTCTTCCCTTCACACAAACACCAACCAAACGGACCCTCGAGCTTTTTGATGCATCGTGTTGCTTTATGGTGTGTGTTATTGATGGATCATACCTCAATGATGCTGTTACTGCCAGTTGAATTGAAAATCTCTTGTTTGTTATCGTCTATCCGCATTTTCAGAACTTTGGCGTGTTCAATCGGGGACCAAATGCTGCTGAAATCTACTTTGAACATGAGACGATCTTGTAATTCTCTAAGACGATATGTTTATTTATTCGTTTGTAGATACTTTCTGTAAATATAGGGTTGCGAATTGAGCTTTGCTACGGGGACCTAAAATATGGGACCAATAGGAGGGACAAGTGAGGTGTCCCCTTCTTATTGGATAATGAGTTGGCCATCGTTAATGATGGCCAACTCATTATCCAATAAGAGGGGGACACCTCACTTGTCCCCTCTATTGGTCCTATATTTTGAGTCTTTAAAGAATTTTTCGTTGCGAATTACATGACGATAAATTCCTGCCGCAGCTCCTTGATCCTTCCACCTCAAGCGAGGAAAAAAGATATTTGAAGAAAAATAATATTTCAAATAATGACAAGGAAGTGACCCTCTACTCATACAACACATGCTCCTTTCCTCCCCCCCTTAATAAACTAACGTCTTCTACAACATATGCTCTTTCACAAAAGAGTCAAAATACAAACACAAACTAACATCTTCTACTGTTGAAAGCTTCTAACATTGTAGCGGTAGTACTGTAGCAGCCTATTGGCCTCCCGTATCCCGCTAAAATACGCCCCGTGCGTGGTAGAGTAGTGCGTCCTGTGCGTCGCCTCCCCAGCGAACATCACCTGCAGCGGCGCCACACCGCAGCCTCCTCCCACGGTTCCGGCCCGTTCCACTGTCCCGCGGGCAACGCTCCGCCATCAGCGTCCAGATCGTCCCCGCTGTACCCTGCTGCGACGTAGCTGTAGGACCCACAAAACAGCGGGTTCTTCCCCACCGCGCTCCTTTTCACCCTCACACCCTCACATAATTACTCCCCCACCCCACCGCCTCAAACCCATCCAACGTTGAGGTGGACCCCACTGATAATCTCCTCATCATTGAGCTCCTCCATTCCTGATGGCCCTCCGGCCCAGCCAGCCACGCGAGCAGCACGTGCGACCCGCCGTGATACGGCAAATCGACGCCGTTTTCCTCATCCACCACGGGATCTTCGCGACGCGCCCTTCTTCCGTCACATCAAACGCCAGCTGCAGAAACGGAAACTCGCCGTCACCGTCACCGTCGATCTCCATAAAAAGCTTGTCCACGACGCCAAATCCCAGCCGTCCAATCACTTCTTTCTTAAAATCCGGCAGAGCAGGAGAAAACTCCAGCGCTTCCTTCCTCAGGCTTGATTTCAAAACCCCGAGAGACACCGTGACAATCACGTGATCCGCAGCGACCACATCTCCTCCGTCCACGTGTACCCTGACCGGCCCGTCGTCGGCGCACCAATCGATTCGGCGAACTTTTGAGTTCAAATGGATTGACCCTTTTGGGAGCACGGCGGCGAGAGTTTCGATGATCCGCGAGTAGCCTTTAGCTATCGTGATCTCCTCGCCGGGGAAATTTCTGTACTCGCTTTCAGCAGCGAGGTTCAGGTCGTCAAGATCGTCGGCGGACGTGAAGGTCCTCTCCGTGTTCTCGTTCATCGCGAAGACCGCGTCCAGAGTCCAGTCACGCGCCGCCGTCGTGAGCTACTGCGGTACTCCTTCAGGCCTTTTCGCAGGTAAGCGCCGACCCTGGCTTGTTGGGGTTTACGGTAACCTTACGTCCTAGCAGAGTCCATTAGATTTCTGTACAGAGAACAGACAGGGTCAACGAAGGAGGGGGTGAGGATACCGCCGCCCTCGCGACGGTGACGGCATCCTCAGGGAATCCGTCCATTCTCTCGTAGGAATCGGAAGCGTTGAGGGCGTCAATCTTGTCGGCAAGGGCGTACACGGGCTGCCGTCAATGCGTGGATCCACGTGGCGCCCTCTCGACGCGGTCGCCGGCGAAGTCCGAGGTGGAGTATGCGGCGCCGATGCGGGCTCGCGCCTCTAGAATAGTGACGTCGACGAGGTCGCGACGGCGGTGTGGAGTCTGTTGGCGCGGTTGAGGCCGGCCATGCCCGGCGCCAATAATCACGATTCTAGCTTCTTGGCTACCATTTGTGATGGAGTTGAGTTTAGATTTTTTTTTTTTTTTTTTTTTTTGGGGGGGGGGGGGTGGGGGAGACTATTTTTTTTTGGTTTTTGTTGAAGAGTTGAGGCTCTTAAAGAGTAATAGCTAGTTATAATAGAGAGGAGAGAGAAAAGGGCAATAGAGAGAGGGGGAGCGTGATTTGTATTTGTAATATCGGGAATTGAAAACTCATTAATGATGACGTGGAGGCGGTGAAATTTGAGTAAGGACGAGGTGGTCCTTTTCTCGAAGCCTACGACTCCGGGTTTATTTGTATTTAAGCTGTGAGCTTTAGTATCTTGGTTTCTTTGTATTTGTATTTTATATGTATCCAAAAGTTTTGACATGTAACTACTCATCTGATTAATGGTTTTTTCTTTTTCTTTCTTTTTTTTTTGCAGGCGCCTCACGCGTGTGAAGGAGGGGAAACTTGAAGTATACTACTTATGGGGCATTTGGTTGCTCGTAGCTATAGTTGCAATGCAACTGTCACTTGCGTGCAATTGAGACTTTGTAATTTTTTTACATGCAACTATATTTGTAATTATTTAGTTTAAATTTTAAATTCTGTAACTTTTAGTTATAGCTATTTGATTTTGCTTATAATTTTATATACGCAACTTATTTTTTCATCATTAATAAACTATTAAAGATACTAATTTTTTCACACTTTTAAAATATTTATTTTTTAAAAAAATAATGGTTTTTACTATTAATTAAATTTACTTTTAAATTTTTAATTTTTTTTCATAAGATAATATTTTATTAAAAAATAAGTTCTATAAATGAATTTCATTAAAGACTAATTCTCTTTCATAATTGTTTTTGAAATAAACTATTTTTTAAAATATTATTGAATTTTTTTAAAATAATATTTTAACAAAGTAGAATAGTATTCAAGAAAAAATTATTTTTTAGAAAAATAATACTTTTCAAGTTACTTTTTAGAAAATACTTTTAAAAATAATAAGTTTTTCAAGAAATTTTCTAAAAAATATTATTTCTTCAAAAAATAGTTTTTAAAGAAATGGTATTTTTTATAAAAATAATGTTTTTAGAAAACAATATATTTTAAAATTTTAAATTTTAAAATAATATATTTTATGAAAATATACTTATTTTGAAAAATAACATATTATTTTAATTATTTTTAAAAAATAATATATTTAGGAAAAAATATTTTTTAAATAAGGGTATTTTTTAAGAATAACTTTTTTGAAGAAACTATTATAATAATATATTTTAAAATATTATTTTAAATCTTTAATGAATTTTTTTTGAAATGGTAATTAATGATTTTAATTTTTAATAAATTTGGGTCAGTTGTAGCTATGACTTGTTACCATTTTTGATGAGTTCCAACGAAACAAATGCTTGTAACTAGATAAATTTGACTTAATTGCATGCAACTGGAGTTACAACTACTCCAGTTGCAAACTACCAAACTCCCCCTTAATGCAGGTGCACATTATTCTACTTATAGTATTGCACCAAATGTCTATCTATATGCTATATATAATGGAAATAGTGATAGTAGGCTAAAAATGGATGAGAGATGGTCATTTCTTCATTTCTATTTGCATTTGAAAGGGTAAAATCATAATTTTAAGTATTTTTCCATCTTTCTTTTCTTTTCTCTTCCTCTTTTCTAGAACTTTTTACATGTTGACATGAAGTTATTATTAAAACTTACTGATCTATACTACTATATAATGGAAATAGTGAGGATAGGCTAAAAATGGATGAGAAGTGGACGTTTACTTCATTTCTATTGCATTTGAAAGGGTAGAATCATAATTTTATAGACGTATTTTTTTCTCTCTATCTTTTCTTTTCTCTTTCTCTTTTCTAGAACTTTTTAAAATGTTGACACAAACTTATTATTAAAACTTGTTGATAACATATCTATTATATTGCAAATTAATATTAGAAGATATATAAATATGAAATGATAAAGTTTTTCCCAAAAATGAATACAAATATACAATAAAAATTACAATTAGAATTACAATATGTTCCAATCTAAATATACAATAATATAGTTAGGCTAAAAATAATTAACACAACAATTTGAAAAGAAACTATGAATAAAAATGAATAAAAAAATTAACACAATAATTTGAAAGAAACTATGAAAAAAAATTGACTCTTCTAAATAAAATAATGTAAGAAAATTAAGTCATCTCTCAAATTGAAATATTTATCATAGTCAATTCCAAATAAGACAAAGAAGATATAACATATCAAACGAACAAACATCATAAAAATATGACGTAAAAATTGATGATATTTTAAGACATTAAAGTGGTCCTTTTATTGTAAAATAGAATATTTACGTTTTAATTCCTCTTACACATGCATTTGCATGTTCAATAATGCTAGTAATAGATCCAGCCTTTAGTAGCACTTATTGCCATCCATTAACTATTTTATTAGCACTTAATATTTTTAATTTATAAGGACCAGAAAAATTATCAGCTATTTGTCTTTCTGAAAATTTAAATTAGAGGTGTTAAGTGCTATGAAGATAGTTAAAAGGGGGTTATAATGTCTTCTAAATGTATATCTAAGAAGGATTATATGCAATTTACTCATTTTATTTTTATTTTTTAAAATGTTACTTTTATATCTTAAAGTGCTTTGAAGTTTGCATGAACGTGCTTGGCACGAATTTCATGTTTGTATTAATTACGATTAATGTGTTTTGCTTATGAAATTTGGAAAGAATGAAAAGAAATGTTATGACTTCTATCATAACTAGAGAAGTACAAATGTCATGTTTGTTTCATTGATTGACATACGAGAACTTCAGTTAACAGGAAAGTTGAGTTGCTTGGTTGCGTGTTGTCAATTTTTGTTCTTCGCAAAAACTGGGGGAGGAACTTAGAATATAACTAGGTAGTATGAAAAGTTTTCTTTCTAAGACTTTAATCCTCTCTAGGTGATCTTTTTTTCTTGGGGAAAATGGGGTTTCACAAAATATAGAAATTTTAGCTTTTAAGTTTTGTTTTATAATAATGGGGTGTTTGCTTGCATGAAAGTGAAAAACAAAAGTGAAAAAGTGACTTGATTTTAGCATTTTAGGTGTTTGTTTGCACGCTAGTGGTTATGAAAGTAAAATACAAAAAACTTGTTACATAGTATTTAATGTAATTTAGACTTTCTTAAAAAAATGGTGAAGTCACATGAAAGTGACAAAACCGATAACAAATTTGAATTAAATAATTTTAACTATGTTTACTATTTGATCCTATTTTGTCACACCATCTTCACTCTACACTTTCAACAATAATTTCGTTTTTCAAATAAAACATCGTATTTCAATTGTGTGCTGATGTGGATGTGAAAGCCATTTATAAAAAGAAGTAATTTACACATTTCAATTCACTTTCGAACTGCAAACCACCACCTAAATTTAAGACAACTTTTCATACTTTCATATACTTCTTTTCTAAACTTCATATGCAGAGCATAGATTTTCTTTTGCTTTCAAGAAAGGTGAAGTTTGGTTTATCAAAATCATGATGTGTTGTCTACTACACTTGGGCTAATATATGTTTAAGTATGAAACGAATATATATGCTAGTAGCCTCTTTTATGTCTGTATCATATCATAAACGAGAAGGAATACTAAGGGAAAATTTTGATATTTCCTTTTTCAGGGTGTTTCTGCCTTTTTTTGTTTTTGTTTTTGATATAAGCAGTCAATAATGGGGTTTGGTGATTTTTTTGTGTGCATATGTATTGAAATTGCTTCTACTTTTATGAGCTGGTTTTAGAAGAAAACTCCATGATGCTTTTGAAATTCTATTTTTTTAGTTTATATCTCATATATGGCCTTTATCTGTTGTCAATGATTTTTAAGCACAGTTTTGACAAACGTACCTTAATTGTTTTTGGGAGCAGTTTATAATATATGATTACTAAAAGACTACTAGTGTAGATAAATTGCTTATATAAGCTATTTATATAAGGAATTTATATACGCTCAAGTGCTCCAAATTCTTTGCTTATTTCTAGGGTCTATAAAACAAGATAAAGATGTTTTGTTCCGAATTCTTTTCAATTGGATATTGATAACTGATGGGCAAGATTATCAGAAGTTGATGGGATTCCTTTCACTAGTAATAGGAGACAGAACAAATCAAAATACTTAGGGGATAAACTTAGAAATGTCAAATTCTCCTATTGGCCATGCTTTTCATCAAATTCATGATGTTTAGTGTGGGAGCATGACAGCTTAGGAGTATATGATAATTTTAGGAGTATTACGTAGGCATGTAGGTCTACGTACGTGTTGAGTTTCATGATTTTTATCTTTCATGATGCAAGGTTTTCGTAATTCGTATGATACTATGGTGCACATTATGCGTGCATGACACAAAACATATAGGAGCGTTATAATCGAATTGTCACAAACTGATCAATATAATTTTGAGCGTATTTTTGTTTGTTTTGCTATTTCTAAGTTTAAGGGCATTTCTATGTTTTTTCTTTCAATTAAGTGTGAGGGCATTTTGTTTCATTAAGCGTGAAATCATTTTTGTTGATTTTATTCAGTGTGAGGACATTAATTTATAGTTAATATTTTTTTAAGATATAAAGGCATTTAAAAAAAAGGAGTTTTTCCATAATACGTAATATATAGATGATGCATAGTGGGTTAAGTGTACTTCAATATCATAAAGCTTCGCTCATTTACTTTTCTTTCTTTTTACCTT